CACAAACCCATCCTCTTCCCCTTTGTGTATCCAGTATCACCATGCATATCTATGGCAGCCCTCCAGTTTAACCAGTTCATGTTTTTTTGCCCTCAAGACTTGAAGGCATCTTGAGTACAGAAATGCCTAAGCAGCTTAGAAAATGGTGTCATTTTGAAAAGTGACATAGTATGATAGTCACAGCATACAGAGAAAGGGGTCAGATGTAGGGTTGCCCACTCTCCAGTATTGTTCTGGTATTCTCTAGGAATTAAAGATTAATCTTTAATTAAAAATTATGTCATGTGATAAAACCTCCAGGAGTATATCCAGCCAAACTTGGCAACTTTAGTCAGATGGAAATAAAACACTGCTGGAAGGCTGCAACATAACACTATTTTACTACTTAGAATTCACAACAATACCACACAAGAACCCAAAATCAGAGGGAGCCAAAGCAGGCTGCTCCCTGAAACAGAGATGCACACATTATCTCACTTTACTATAGGTATCTGTCTGCAGACTGTCTGCTGCTGGAGTGCTGTGCCAAATCATATCCTTTCAAAGACTATGTCTACACTGCAGAGCTTTTCCAGGATACCGGAGGTAAGGGCGCTGTCTAAGGCTATGTCGAGACTGCATAGTTATATTGGAAAAAGATACGCAAATTGTGAAACGCAATCCAAGGAACACGTCTGCTTTTTTGGAACAGTTTCTGAAAAAGCAGACGCATCCTTTCAGCATCTCTGTATTCCTCATTGCATGAGGAATAAGGGATGTTCTGAAAGAGGAGTTTTTTCCTAAATTTGGCCCCGTGTAGACGGGCCAAATTTTGGAAAAGTCTCTTCTGAAAAAAAAGCAGAAAAAGATACGCAAATTGCAGTTTACAATTTGCGTATCTTTTTCTGATATAATTATGCAGTCTAGATATAGCCTTTGACAGCTTCCTTACCTGCAAATGGGACCAAGAAAAATATCTAATCATTTAAAGTGATATTTTACATTTTTAAGACAGTGCTCAACACATTGCACATCAGCTTTTCAGGGAGACTTAAGTTCCCAAGTCAGTTAGGCACTTGGAAATTTGATTCTGAGACTAAGCACACACCCTGTATGATAATATGGCACTGACAAATCTTTTTGAGCTGTAAAGAGTATTTTCTCACTTTCATTTTAAATTCAAATGATTAAAAACAGTTTTGCTTTTACTATATTAAAATTAAGAAGAAATTCCAGTCTATGAATGCAGATGCTGTGGTAGTTACTTAAGGCTCAAGGGTGCCTTGAGAAATGCATAGCTAGTCTCCACCCGTCCGCAGAGAGGATGACTGTACTTGGCAAGCCATGGTCCTCTTGCAAAAGGTGCTACTACAGTCTGCAGGTATGTGGGAGGGCAAGATTGTTAGGTGCATAGGAGATGTGGCTAAAAATTTCACCCTGTGGAGAGGTGTGGTACTAATGGCTGTGACTTTAAGGACTGAGCTTCCCATACATAAAGTCTGTTTTGTTTTGGCCAAAATGGAACATTCCATTCTAGATTTTTTAAAATGTTTTTAACATGCCAAAATTTTTGACTTAACAGATTTTTCCCCCATTTTTCAAAATTGCCAGCAAATCACATAATTCTTTTTTCACCCAGCTCTAGACAAATGCTGTTGGCTTCAGTGACAGGTCAGGGCACCAGGCAGAGATGCTCAGAGCCTCACAGAAGCCTGCTGGAATCAAACAGTTGCCGCTTCCTTGAGCATTCAGTTTCCCCTGAGCACCGGGAATAATGAGAACTAAGAAAAGATCCTGAGTGGAAGAAAGAAGCAGTTAAAAGCTCCATCCTGCAGAGATGTGGAAGACAGCTGGACATAGCTCAAACAGCATTTCTCTCTGTGAGTGCTAGGAAAAATTGCTTTGTCTAGACACGCTGTTCCGAAAATGCTTTTAACGGAAAAATATCCCGCACTTCATTTGAATAGAAATGGCCGCCGCTTTTTGCCAATGCAAAACTTTGCCAGCAAAAAGCGGCAGTCTAGACAGGGATCGGTCGACAAGGAAAGCCTTTCCGACTGATCCTTTATGCCTCGTGCAATGAGATATACAGGATCAGTCGGAAAGGCTTTCCTTGTCGACCGATCCCTGTCTAGACTGCCGCTTTTTGCTGGCAAAGTTTTGCATTGGCAAAAAGCGGCGGCCATTTCTATTCAAATGAAGCACGGGATATTGAAATCCCTGCTTCACTTGCAATAGCGATGTGCGTAATCTACATCCCTCTGTCGGAAGAGAGGTATAGTTTAGACACACCCTTATGGAGGAGCAGGGAGCCTGAAGCAGTCTCTTATGTCTCTTATGCTCTTAAGTGGTTCTCAAACTTTTGACCCGTGAACCACCTGGCTCAATGTAAACATTTCCTCAGACCACCAGTTGCTAATGGAAACTCACTGTTAATTACATAATAATGCCCAAGCCATTTTACTAGTGCTGCAGCTAGGGAGAATTGTTTTATTTAAATTATTAAACAGTTTAAGCATTATAACTTTCTCATGTTAGTTTATCAAACTTCATTATAAATAAAGTAAAATATTAATTTATGTCCAACACAAAAGGTTTCAATGTTTTCTTTATTTATGGCAGGGGGGGAGAACCTTTTTTGGGTCGGAGGCCACTGACCCACAGAAAAATCAGTTGGGGACCACACGAGCAAGAACCAAAAACCTCCTCCCAAAACCTCCAACCCTCACTGATGTAGCCCCCTACTGAGACACCTCACTCCTCTGGTGCTCCATGGGGGAAGGAAAAGGGACAGGGAGACTGAGGTTCAGGGTTTCCCATAGGCCAGATTTAATATTCTGGTGGATTTTATGGACCCCCTTAGGTTCTGGGATGGGGACAAAATTGAGGGGTTCAGTGTGTAG